ATACAAAATTTCCTGTTAAAATGTACATATGACTCTTTAAAAAGTTAAAAATTCTCTTAAAGGATTACATAAAATTGAAGTTTGTCTTTATTTAATGAAGCTTAAGAGCTAGATGGATTTTTTTTAACTTTTTTTTAGAAAACTAGATTATTGTTACGATCATGTGTAATTTTAAGTTACAAGTAGACATATAATTAAAGACACATGTCTACACTCATTTTAGTATGTAGGTAGTTTTCTGCCTTCTATAAATTCAAGAAATTTAAAAATAATGCATGCCAAACAACCAATTTTTTTTTCCAAGAAATTCCTACATTAGCTTGCCAAAATTTTGTAGCTCTGAGCCTCTATATAAGACTAAAGAAAATCCATAATTATCACTTTATTTTAAATAAGTGATGAAAAGGCATATTTGAACTTCTTAGAGGTGATTATATTAAAACTTGAAAGTGTGATTGTCTTAAAATTCCAAGAATAATGTGGTCATTTTAGATTATCATATTGCTGTTATGTTTCCATATTTTATTAATTGCATAAACAGATGACTGTAAATGCTTTGTGGTAGGGAATTTTTTTTTATATTCCCTTGAAAGACAGGTTTCAAATATTGTCATATTTGTACACACATATCACATTATAATAAGTGGTATTTTGTAATAGATTTGGGTCTTAATATTTGAAAGGGAAGGTTTTTTAAGAAAATACCATTCTTGTCATACATACTGGGTTTAAATACTAGTCTGTCTTACATCTTATACCTTTTTTGTTCCTTATAAGATAGTATTTTCTAATATCTTTACTATTTAAAAAGTTAATATTTGGCATGAAATATATTTTCCTTTGTAATAGCTTTCTTTGATTTTTAAACTTAAGGTACTTTATTTACACTTTTCAGAGTGTTCAAATGTCAAAAACTTTCTATCTTTTAAGGGAGACTACAGAAGTAATTTTTTTATTGTATTTGGGTTGGCGTTTCTAAGTTAGGTATAAATGTATATATGGGGTCTGTCAATCACATACTGGGCAGCAGGGTTATAAAGATTTTTGTTTTAATTTTTCATTAATTTTCCTGAAGTGTGGAAAAACTCTCAAAATACTATGAATCACATGCAGTATATTGCAAAGCTTTAGTAATTTAATAGTCTGCTATTTTTAATACCATTGATTGTCACCAAATCATTAAGATATACAAAGATGAAAACACTTGTATGCATTTGGCCACATTTTCTATCCTTAGAAACACTAAAAAACACTAAAAATGGTCAGTAGTCACCCATTTATTACTTGTAGTTTCATTCTTTTAAACATAAATGCCAAGTTTTTATGTTAGAACTGTGATTTCATAACAAAGAAAAATAGTGAAGATGTAATATTTTCTCTTCAATGTTTTTAAACCATGAATATTATAAATTCTGGAGACAGACAAAATGTATTTGATATTTTCCTGTGGAGTCTCTTCCTATTAGCCTTCTTAACAGCTACCTACCTATCTATCTATCTGTCCATTTATCTATCTATCCATCCACACACACACTCATGCTCAGTACTTAGAAAATGAATGTCCTAAAGAGAAATGAAAGCAGAAGCTTATTAATTTGATTTGTTTGAAAAGGCTTCCATGACTTTTTTAAAGCATTTCACAGGTGTTTCTAATTAAGTTACTTCTAGTAAAAAAACATTGTTTTCAAGTTAGGGCTTTTCTGAACATAGGCAAGATTAGGGTCATGTTCAAGACCTTGCCTCTGTGTTCAGATATCAGCTATAGAACTGCAGGAGGCGGAAATCTGCTGAGTGTCTTCATGTTATAATACATGACATTTTTATTGCAGGTTTTGACCTTTAGAAGAGAGCCAATTCTGGAAAACAACCTAACTTCTTTGATTGGATATGCATATAATGTGTTGGAACATGATAGGAGATAAAGGTATATTAATGAATCTTCATTTATAAAAGTTTTCCGTTTATAACTTTGCATTATATTTCAAGCAGATTATTGGTAAAGCTAAAACTTTTACATAAAATCAATTCATAAAGATTTATTAGTAGACAGAAATACTATGAAGTGCCTCAGGCTGAATTAAGTTGCCTTGCTTAATAAACATTTATATTTTTTATATATTGTTGTTATTGTCCTTTCACCTCCAGGATATTTTCCAAAAATAAGCATATAGTTGTGATTTTTCTTTACATTTGTTATTAAGAGATTTATGTGTAAATTAGCTTGTGGAGAATTTCAATCAAATAAAATTCAGTGCTTGTCTGTTTCACAGGTGGAGTTGTAGTTAAAGTGTGTACATTTAGGTAAAATTAATGAGACTATTGTAAGAGAATTTTAGTATTCCAAGTCCTAATCTAACTAAAAATGGTAATTTGGTTCAACAGAAAAACCCACGTTTTTTCTTTCCCTCCCCCTCCTTTAGGAAAACCCACTTACTTAAACAGAAACAAGTGTCTTAATCAGGTATTCTGAAACACTTTTAATTGTTCATATCAAAAACTGAAACTCTTGAAAATAAAACTGTATCATGCTTAAACTTCCCATGGCTTTTATCGTCTTAATGTAAAATACTTTCATCATATAACCATATTTCTGAATACATTTTTTTCTTTGATTTTTATGGTTGACAATTTCA